TTGTTTTCTTTTCCTTATTGGAATTGAGTTGCAACTGAATATTTGATGAATACAGCCTAGAAGTAAGGATGTTATGTCAGCAAGGAAACAAAAAGTAAAGAGAAACAACCAAGAAATGTATTTTGCAAAGTTTGCGCTTTGGAATAAACTAACATGCCTCTGCTTTCATAAGTGGCTTGTTAATTGAATGTGGGGAGGGGGGGGGAGTTCGCTATCTGCAGGTTGTGCTGAGCCCTAGCGAGGCTAGCTGCGCCTTTCCGTATGCACTGCGCTGAGTGCTGGGTACTCTCCGTGCACAGAACACCATCTGCATTTTGCTGTTAACGCGCCTTCACATCCAAGGGAGGATTAGGAGAAAATCCCCAGGTTTTTTTCAACCAGTTGACAAATATCAGATTTGTCTCTAAAAAATTAGCTCCATCTATATCTCCCACCATATGACACACAAAAAAGATTATCTTTAATACCCAGCCAGCTTGGGTGTGGAAAAAGCAGATTAAAGTTTCAGTTTGGTCATATTTACGCAGCCACTTCAAGTACAAGACTGGGCTGCATTACACAGTAGACAGACCTCTTCACAAAGAGTCCCCCCCCTCCCCCCCCTACCCCACTGCATGTACCCCCACCCCCCAAGCTTTACCTTCCAGAAACAAGATGTCTGCCTTGAAACAATTAGACATCATACTTAAATAATTCATCATTTCCCAGTCAGTCTTTCTCTTCTACGTGTCCTTTAAACAGACAGAGTGAGCTGCCAAAGGGGCTAAAGTGAATAACAGCAGCAGGTGCCTTTTCAGATGGAGCTTTGTAGTCTGCAGAGGGTGCTGAGCTGTTATTTTAGTGGCCCACTGGTGAGGAGCAGGGGGTGGCTGGGAAATGGACCCGGTAGCTGACCTGAGACCCCAGAGCTGTCCTATTAGCAGTGTGCACGCCTCTAGTAGTTCCTGGCTTCACTCACTTCTCAGATGTTTTAAACCTGAAATACAGAAACACAACATGCAGTCACCTGCGAAGTTACAGAAAAGCGCCGCTTGAATTCCCATTTGAGAGTTTTAAGAATCTCACTTCCTAAAAATAAACTCCTTTGACCCTGAAGGAGGTCGTTGGCAGTGACAGATTGTAAGGCTGGACACGCGTGATTATTACCCATCAGCATGAATCACAGGGATTTAAACATACGAGTAAGATGTTCCTTAAGCCTCTACTAAGTCAGTGTGTTCTTCCTGACCATTTCATTATCAAATACATAATCGTCATCTGCCGAGGACAGAGCTGAAGGCCTAAGGCCCTACCTGGTGTCCTGGATGTTGACTTCCCCGCTTCCGCTCAAGACCACTGCCCCACCCAGAGGTTGCTTTATGAACACAGGAGCCCCATAAATGAAATTAAGGTGTCAATTAGTCAATTACAGCATAATAACTCTGAGGGCAGACATTTAGAGACAAAGAGAACCTCAGCTAAGTTCATTTCCTCCAGCCCAGGAGCCTAGCACTTGGCACACGTCACTCCCCACCCAGACTCGCTGAATAAGGGCCCCAGTGCTCTCCCTAATGTTATTTTCCCCTGGATATCTTTTTTGATCAACAATTTCCTTTCATGGGTTTGTTTTTCAGATGCAGGGGATGCACTTTTTCTCTCCCCAATTTGGCTAGGGAGAATTTTATAATTTAGTAATTAAAATCTTTGTTAGGCTTTAGAAATTGCAGCTAATTGAATTTAATGGGAAGATGAATTTCAATTTTATTTGATTAGCAGGACCCCTGGCATAGGTATTTATGGAAAAAACTCTACAAAAATATGCTGTGTGGGCTAAGATGGCATAATAGAATTACAGATAATCGGATTTCACTGTCATGAATTTCACTCTAATTTCACTATAATTTTCCATTAGATAGCTGGTTTACAAATATTTGCTCATCTGCGATGGGAAAGGCTATCTGTCTAAAATGATTACCGAGCGAGCCTTCAGAAATATGTCCCTTTTTTCTCCTCCCTTTTAAAACCAGATTGCGAGGGATCAAAATTAGGGAGATTGCATTATGGATGTCTGCATCCGGGAGAGCAATGGGGGAGATATGATGATTACGGCCGGGGGATGAAAGCAGTGTCAAGAAAAATGTATGACTGAAAAACATAGGCCTATTCTATCTACAAAATCTCTGCTCTCAGCACACTGCCGCCGAGGAACATGCTATATCATAATTCATGTAATATCAGCGGTGTACAGCACAAAAAGGAAAGACACTGCTGCTTATAAATATAGCTTATACTTCATACAAACTCCATGTTAATTGCTTTCAAGTGTGTACCTATAATGAGATTTTTGCTCTGTGATTTTCACAGCGTATGTATGTATGTAGGTGTATATACCGCTACACGGCAATTAGGAAAATCAAATGAGATCCTAAAGAATCATTGTCATGAGTAATGCAAACGATGATCATCAAAATGTGCGTTGCCGTCATCGTTGTTGGAGCCATGTTTGTGTGTAAGTTTAATATTCAGCTCCTTCTCTGCTTAAAAATAAATATATAATGCAATATAAACAGACGTGAGAGGGAATAATATTCCACATCGCAGACAACCTCGAATAACACCGGGGTGAACTCTTGTTGAATCCCACTTTAAAAGCCCCTGCTTCAGAATTAAGCTTTTACACGTTCAATTTCCTGCCAATTTTGCACAACATGACAGTGAATATCAAGAATAAACTTGATCCATTGTGTGCCGAAAGACACAAACTATTTTAATTTGTTGTGTTTAAAGTTGGATGCGGTGGAGGCGCTTCGTTGCCGCTCCTCCTGTGTAAACCCCCCCTCCCTCACCACCACCACCACCACCACCACCACCACCTGTACTCCACCAGTCAGGACGGACCTCCAGCCCACGCCGGCTCACACCCACTTCATCCCCATTCGCTTACTCACTTTTTGCCCCCGAACTGCCAGAGACAACAAGAGGGGTTCAAAAACACAATCTGACTTTCGGCAAAGGTCAGATTTCTCACTCGGCATGTCTCTGGGCTTTGGGCACAAAAGCCACTGAATTCACATCTTTCAACTGGGCCATAGCTTTTGTCCTGGGGAATGGAGGACTCGGAGTGGGCCCTGCACCAGACCAGCCCCTCCTGGAGTGCACTGTCAGGGGCAGCCAAACGTCTGGCCCGGCGGCCCTTTGACTGATGTACCCCTACCATGTCACACGCACAGCGGCGCGCACACACGCTCACACGCATACACACTCCACCTTGCCCTCAACATTCTCCCGCATGCACCATACAATACCCCCGGATCACATCAAACGAAAAGCCCCACAGCTCCTTTTGAAAAGTAATGGTTTCGCCCCCAAAGATGGCAGCTCCAGGGCCAGAGGGGCTGCAATGCATGGACGACAAACCCTCCCTCCTGTGGACACATGAATAGAATCCGCCCAGAAACATCCCCCGATATTAACTTTAGAGATACTCTGGAATCTTTTTCTATCTTTAATTTGTTTTCCTATGTCATTCCTATTAGTCGTATCATAGTTTCACCCACACACACAAAAAAAAGTTTGCTGGAAATGTCACTTTTAAAACAAAAAATAATCTAATAATTACACTGTCTGTCATCGCTGTGTGCTACTGGGCTATATTTCAGCTTCATTAGCAATATTTCATGCCGTCTGCACGATGCTACAGCGAACGACAAACAAGTTTCTAAGCCATGATCCACACAGGTGTCAGACTGCACCAGGTTACACTAAACCACCAAACAAAAATATGCTTGTTTGTACAGTATGTGATTGATGATGAACAGGACTGACACATAACAAAAGGTTTTTTTCCGACACCTTTGCTACAGAATACAGAGTCTGGTTACCAAGTCAGGTCATGTACAACAAAAACAATCGCATTTTTATCATGGCTACATAAGAAACTGAAGCAGTATTTACAGTACAATGTTAGATCAAGGGTGGAACCGCTCCATAGAAAGTCTTTTAAGGACGCTTGCCTTTATGTGGGTTTGGAAGGAGGAGACAAAGATTATTTTTTTTTCATTATTAACCAGGATGAGTCATCAAAATCTCAGAATCAACCTGTTTAATGTTAAAAGTTTGGCCTCCTTTTTTTTTTTTTGTTTTGACAGGAACTGAAGCCAAAACTTGTGTGTGTAACTGTATCATGGTTCACAGCCATAAATTTGTTCATTTCCTCTTTTCTGTAATCAGTAAATGCTACTCTTACAACTCCTTTTATACAGAAATACAACTGCCGTGGAACAAAAAAAAGGAAAACAAAACAGGAATGCCCAGTCGCCTTTGAAAGTTTCACTCTTGGTTATTTTGTGTCACAATCCCACATTCTGGACACGGAGCCATGTTTAGAGTATATGGGCATTATGTACAAATGGTCTAGAGGCACTTTGCATGCCGCTGCGGAAGAAACTGCCAGGCAAATAAGGGGTTTGTCTTATAAAGTATTCATTGTCACCTGGTAACGGCCGTCGTTTATCATTTCACCTAAAATTACAATGAAAACTGATAGCTTATCAGAGGGAGGGAAGGAGAAAGAGAGCGCTGCGAGGCGCAGAGGCAAAGAAAGTGCTGCACAGTCCTGAAAGAGAAGCGAGTTATTTGCTTCGAGCTAAAAGAGCTGGAGTGATGTTTTTGTCAAATCTATTTTTTTTAAAAAAAGACACTTCCTCAAGAGACAGTGTGTTAAACATTCAATTTAACCGCCTTACAAAATTGTCAAAAATACCCCTCTGCTTACTGTAGTCGCACTTTATGTAAAACAATAATCAAATATGGGTGTATTTGATTTAAATAATTAGTCTAAAAGCCTCAAACACTTAATCATTAAACGCATAATATATTTAATAAACGTGTAATCTTTTCCTCCACAAAACCTCCTCTTTCTCTTTTTTTTTTCTTTCTTTTCTTTTCTTTCTTTAAACTGTTGTGCTCCCCTCATTTGAATAGAGGCAGTGGAGGCTCCACCCCAAGAGAGTTGAAAGGCTAGAAGACCACAAAGATGGAAAGGCCAGCCCACTGAGGGAGGGAGAAAAAAAAAAACTGCTCCGGCTCCTCTGCCATAATTTCCTATCAGCCTATTCAGACAACATCACCAACAGCTTGGTCTGTGTATGTGTGTGTGTGTGTGAGAGAGAGTGTGTGTGTGAGCGTGAGGGCTGTATGGGAGCAGAGCGGCGAGAGAGAGAGAGAGAGAGGCAGCGCAGCGAGCGAGCCACATAGACAGCGACTCGCAGAAAGAGAGAGAGAGAGCAGGGAAGGGGGAGGCTCCATATTCGTTCACCTACCCCCCCCTCGTCAAACCACAGGAAGGAGGGGCCAGACCCTAAGCTGCCAATCAAATCCGCTCGTGGCAGCCGGCATTATCTCAGCAACAAACTATTGACAGATTACATGTCAAGGAGTTTAGTGCTTGATTGAAGGAAGCCCTTTTTTTTTTTTATCTAGTTACTTTTCCGCTTTATTTCCCCCCCTTCTCAACGCCGCCGCCACAACATTCGAATGACTTTCTAACAGAGTTGAGTTATATTATGAAAGTTACATGTCTGAGAGGATTTAACTTCGACTTCCCTGAATATGGTGAGTACTCTTCTTCTTCTTCTTTTTTTCTGCCTTTGTCTAGATGTGTTTTATTAGCTGACAGTTAAAGGTGTGCCTTTATCTCGGGCTAAATATACAGAGTGGGGAAGTTGTTCATGATTAAACTATGTGCCTGCGCGTACGTATACCCAAGTGTTGCGACACCCTTATTTATAGCTCTTTGACAGTGCCCAAAGGTGACTGCAATATCAAATATGATTGCCCATTTCTCCACCACACACACACACACACACGACTCATGAGTTACATGCGGCACACATGTGAAGAAAAGTTCACAAAGCAAGTTTCATTTTCTCTTGGTATATTTACTGTTCTGTTCTAGGACACTCTCTCTTCTTTTTTTTAATTTTTATTTTTTTTTAACTTCATTTACATTTTCCTGCTTGATTTCATTTAATTACATGTTTTTGAATTAGACATCCAGGTATTGGTTTGACACACAGAGGCACTGGCGATGCCATTAGGGTAACCTGAATGGCCTAAGGGTTTGTTGCCAAGGGGACAAAGCAAACAAACTGTTGTGTTGCTTATGTTGTCACACATGTAAAGGGAACAGGAGCACTGCTAACACCTTTCCAGGTACTTCTAATTAGCGTATATACAACCACACAGGTGTTTGTTGCATTAATACGTAAACATGCAGGTAAAATCCAACGTGTTAAAACGAGAGCCGAAACAATATTCACGTAAAATATTTATTGAGATTGTTCTCTTCCATGCCGTTTCTGTGCAAAAGTACCTGTGAGGCAGATTATTTTCAATTTCATTGAACCTGTAGCTGCCATGGTTGACAGCAGTCATTCTGTGCGCACTTTTAGAAAGATAAACTTGTCCTGTTGTAACTGGATTACAAGCGTCACTCTCTTCCCCACTTTACATGTGAGAAGGGTTTTTTTTTATTTGTATTTTTGAGCGTGTGTGTGTGCGTGTTTTAAAATAACTCATAATTTACGGTCACATTTAGTACTTTCTGTTTTGCTGTGCTGTATGTACGCGTGTCGATTTTCTGATTGCATGCACTGTGGTGTGGTGTCTTCCTTTTGTAATGTGTGTGTATTAATAGTCACTCTGTGTTTCATTATTATAAGGCATAAACGGTAAAGCCAAGCACAAAGTTTTTTACAGAGATTATAGCTTCTCTTTCACTCTGATCAATCTCATCTGCCCTAATTTTTGAAACGCCTCATGATAAACTCCCAGAACATATTTAGATTGTAGTATTTTAGAGTTGGGTATTTTTAAAATGGTGCTGGAGTGTTTCAATTGTATACAAAGGATTCTCATTTATACATTTAAATCAACCTTCTTTTTTTGTCTTTTTTAAAATATTTAGAATAAAGAATAAATCCTTCTTGACGCAGGCTTTGCTCCAGGCTGTTATTCTGAACGTGTTTGTATAGGCTTTTCTGCTCTCAACTTTAACACGCCGGTATTGATGGAGGGAGGGGGGGAAAAAATAAAAAAAAATCAATCTAAAGATGATGTTTCGTATTAATTAAAACTCTTAGGAGCCTGGATAGCAGACCACTGTGGCCACAGGGTTTCACAAACACATTCGAGGGACAGAGGCAGGGCTGGGTTATTACGTCTGGTTATTTAAGGTTGTCCTGCATTATAGTTTAAAATAACAACAAACAAGTTCAACTGTTATCGTGACACACCCTAATTTCAAACTTTTCGTCAGCTTGGAAAATGTTTTTCTCCCCTCATATGAGTCATAATGTTGATTGCCTTCTCCCTCACTGAGTCGTCTCATTAACCCTTTGTGGCCCTCTCCATCGTTTACGGCCTTCCACAAAAAAAAAAAAAAAAAAAAACCAGGATGAAATGAGGGAGAAAAACAAGCCCAGGTCTGAAGGCCCCTCAATAACCTTTTATCACAATTTAGCAATAACCTGAATCAATTTGATGTCTTAAGCAATAAAATATGCTGTTGCACTCCTCTTTCTGCTGCTCCTTGGATGACAGTAAATTTACATTTTTTAATTAAACTAGCCGGAATTTTTATTAGGGGGCCGGGCTATGCTAATGGAAATGTTGTGTACAGCAGATTAACAGAGTTTTGAAATAAATTTAACAGGGAGACATTTGGATGAGGGGAGAAAAAAAAAGAAAAGAAAAAAAAAAAAACGCGAGTCATTGTCTTTAACCTCTTTCATGCCGATTTCTCCTGGGGGATCCTTGTATTCTAAGGAGCCTTGTCAGGGAAGAGTGCTTCTCAGCAACGAGGTGATTAGTATCGCCTTGTCAACCGAGGAAAAAAAAAAAAAACACACATTCTCCACATTTACCTTTTTAACACCTCTCTCAAATTCTAGCAAGGTGTTTTTTTTTTTTAGTCATCTTTGAGTTAATTTGAATTAAATGTCTAAAGCAAAAAAATAAAAAAAAGCTTTGTTTTTTCATCTAAAACATGCAGAAATTTCATCTGAACATTTTAACTTACATCGAATAACTGCACGTCACACAGAAAGTCTTTGCGTTAATTTTTTTCCCCCAGCGTTTCTCTATCTTTAAATTTCCCCTATTTTACAAAGTGTCAAATGCAGCAGTTAATGGCAGTGTATGTTTGTGTAGTTTTATGGTCCGCTCTCAGTATTTGATTGATGTTGCGCGAGGCTGTGTGTGTGTTATGCCTGGTTTTAGCAGAGTGGCAGAGGGGTAAGAGAAGGGGGGATACAGACAGCAGACAAGGGCAGGGAGGTGTGTGTGTGTGTGTGTGTGTGTGTGTGTGTGTGTTGGGTTGAGGAAGGGGGGGGGTTTAAAGAGAAAGAGAGGGACAGCTGAGTCCTGATTGAGCATGTGCCCAGTCATCAGACACAAACCACCCAACACCATAATTACCTTAACCCCCATCTTTTAATACCCAAATCACACCAACTGGCCTTTTTTTTTTT